CTCTCTCTCTCTCTCTCTCTCAAGTTATCATAATTTAATTTTTGTACAATAAATAAAATACTAACTTTGTTACTGATTTGCAAATACTAATTATATGTTAATTCTATTTGTATTTAGTAATTATTAATTATGATTACTAATAATTAAGTTAATATAAATTCCATTTGAATATGAAATAAATTTTTGTTTATTTATCGTTATCTGATTCTCTAATTTAATTTATGTATAAAACCATTTCCAAGAAATTTTTTATATTAACTTTTATTTATTTAAATGATTACAAGTATTACACGAGAATTAACCGAAATAATTAAAGCAACTTTATTAATAACCATTTCGCAGTAAATCCATTCTAAAATAATTAAAAAACTGATTATAATTGTTGATAAAAATATGTACTCATCTCTTACAAAAAAGTTACAACATAAAATTAATTTAATCAACTTTAGTTCCTAATTAAAATATCAATTATTAACTATGTACAAGTGACAATATTAAAACACTACCAAGCTTATTTGCAAAATTAGCTGACAATAGTCAATTTTAACTCAAAGCTTTTGTCATACAATATTGTGGAGCAAACAAACCATAGGTTATATAATTAAGTTATATAAAAAGTTGCAATCAATTTCAAATATAATCATTACATTATATAATGAATTGTCATTAAAAACACTGAATTTTTTATTTTCAAATTAGTTTTATTTGGTTTTTGTCGGCATTTTGTAAATATTTGATTAGCGCTCAATGTTTTTTGTGACTCAATTCACAATTAACTTAATTAAATTAACTTTATTTTAGCGCATATATCGCTTAGTAATCAGACAACGCATACAATCGTTATTAATAATTCATACCATAAATACATATGAATTACATTTCCTAAACCAATGCTTTGAATACTAAAACTCAATTAGTGTTTCACAGAATATGCATTGATTTAATAATTGTATGTTTTATATAATTAAAGCATTCAATTTCAAAGCATTACAATAAATACAATTAAATTCAATACAATATTTAACAGATATGTTTAAAATCAATACTTAAATCATTAAAACAAAGCAATAATTAATTAAATAATCGGCAAAACAATCACAGAATAAAAGGGGGCGATTCTGGACACCAAAATTGTAACGTTGTTTTTGGACTAAAATCATATGAATTCTGTATTAATGAATAAATTGATGTCTATTTGAGAGCAGAGATGGCATTGAATGCAATGAATCACATGTTTTGCCACAAATTGTTTGCAAAAATTGAAACAAATTTCTTCAAAACTAATTATTGTCTTCATTTGAGACCAAATTCAGATGACATCCATATTGTGTCCGCTTTGAAGACAATCGGCTGATAATGTCGTTCACTCGGACTCTCCTCGAGAGCGGCAAAACTGTGGCCAAGACTACGATTAAGCCATCGGCGGTGCAATTGGTGCCCAAACGACTGCCACCACTGCCCACACCTAAAGACTTGATCCGTATCTACAAAGTGAGGGCCAGAAGACAATTGTCTCAAAACTTTTTGCTCCACAAAGACATCAACGAAAGGATTGTCGTCTCCGCCGGTATTTCACGTGACAAATGAGTTGTTGTGATAATAATTTGGGTTTTTTTGTGTTTCAGGCATAAGAGGAGAGAGTCATGTGCTAGAAGTAGGTCCGGGTCCGGGAAACATCACCCGACAGATCCTCGAAAAGGGTCCCAAAGAGCTGTATGTCATCGAAAAGGATCGCCGATTCCTACCGATGCTCGAGGTTTGCGGCACTTGTTTTTGGGTCTAATATATGTGTGAATAATACCGAAACCTTTGCCGCAGATGTTGGCCGACGCCTCACTTCCCGGTCAAATGAAGATCATTATCGGCGATGTTATGGACTATAGTTTTGAGGGTCTGTTCCCCGACGAGACCCGCCGCGAGTGGACGGACACGAGTCCTCCCATACGAATTGTGGGTAATTTGCCGTTCAATGTGTCGACGCCTTTGATTATCCGTTGGTTACGTGATATGTCCGCCCGAAAGGGTCTGTTCTCGTACGGGA